TGAAACACCTATCACCCCCCCTCCACCACTGCTCTGACATGCAGCTCATATTCCCCTCCTTCCCCTCCTTGCAAGGCATGAGCGCCTGTGCCCGGCCCGGACCTCCTCCTCCGGCTCAGCCGAGCTCTGCCGCCTCCCTCTCCCGCGCGCCTGATGTCCTCCTCTCGCCGGCAGGTGGTGTGCCGGAAGTACCGCGGCTTCGAGATGCCGGCGGAGCTGCAGGGCCTGACGCGCTACCTGGAGCACGCCTACCGCCGCGACGAGTTCCGCCACACCTGCCCCAACGACGCCGAGATCCTGCTGGCGTACCACTCCGTCGCCAAGTACCTGAGCCGGTAGAGGGCCGGACCCGTCCGCCTGGCCCTGCAGGAAGCGCCTCGTCTCCCGCGGCGCGTCCCCGCGCACGGGCCACGGACGGAGTCCCGTCGCGACGTGATGGCGCGCGCGGTAGGCCAGGCGCTCTCTGCCTGTGCAGTCGCGACGGTACTCCGGTCCGGGCCCGGTATCCCTCCCCTGGTCGCCGTGTCCAGCTGGGGCCCGGTACCCCGCTGCTGTGTTCAGCCTGTGGGGGATTCGGGTGGTTTCAAATCGTCAGGCAGGCTGGGGGTGCGTGTTTGCTCCTGCGTCTTTGTTCTCCGGGGTGCTCCTCAGGCGTACAGGCTCTACACATTGCTTATTTTGGAAGCCACACAATCGCGCTGCGCTTCTTTCTGCTCCGCTGTCTCTTCGGACAGGTTGCTGTGGTGTACCGTGGTAAAAGGACAGGACAATGTATCACAGAACGGGTGGTAGCAAATCACAGCAAAACAAACCTGCCCGTTAAAATGGACTGCAAGAGCAGGCTGCAACCCTGTTCCAAATGCACGATGACTCCGCGGAGGAAGGTGGATGTTTTATTTTTTTTAACTGGCGTAGATATGACTAAACCCCAGGGCACTGGCTTCGCCTGACCCAGACCTGTCCCACGGCCTCTCTGCTAGTGGCCAGCGGGCGGGAAAGGGACAGACCACCGGGAATCACCACTAGGAAACTTCCAGCCTGGAAAAGACAGGCTCTCCCTCCACCCTGCTCCCGGGGAGACGCCCTCAGTTAAGTCAGCCTGGTCACCGCTAATCTGTACAAAAAAAAGTGTCTAAACACCTGGAACAAGATTATGATCCACCCATTATTATAGTTGTCATTTTCCTGCCGGGATTTTAGACCGGCGGAGAGGAATGATTCACCAAGGTTATTTCCTGGTCAGCGCAGTCGTTTCTCTTTGCCAAGCAGGGCGGGGCGCTTTGTTTAAGGATTGTATTGGTATTGACTCGAGGATCACCAGCAAGGAAGAAGAAGAACCTCCAGCCCTTTCAGGCCTCGAGCCCCAAAAACTCCCTTCATGAACGAGCTGGCACGAGCTCGGTTTCCCAGCTGCTCCCGCAGAGCACTGCAGCTCTGTGACTGCAGCCTCCAGCCCAGGGAGAAAAAGGTGCTGAGATCAGGGATCTTCCAGTGTTGCACCCGGCCCTGCTGGCAGAGAAGAGCACTGATCGGGGGCTGGAAGGCGAGGCTCTGGTTGCAGGCTGTTCATCTTTATTGCAGCCGTGAAGACACAATTTATTACATGATTGTAGGCCATTGTAACCGTGTCTGTGCTTAGCAATTTCGGTACGCAAGTGCTTATCATGATTAAAAAGTCCAAAAACGCAGTTGCCTTCCTTCGTGGTTGGTGTTCTCGCAGTTCAACGTGTTTAGCTGTGACCCAGATAACATTTTTAAAAAGCAGGCCTGAGGAAAAGCCGCGTGGCCTTCAGAGTCCATCTATTCCTCCTGCTCTCCCGGAGACCTCATCTTTCCTTGGCGCTGGATGTACCCCTGACAACATTGCGGACGGCTGGAATGCAGCTCCACCTGGGAGTGGCGGTCCAGTGCCGAGCCGGACCGAGCTCCGATAACTGCCCGCTGCCCGCCGTGCCTGTCCGCAGAGCAGAAGCAAACCAGTCCCCCCCCCTCCTCCTCCTCCTCCTCCTCCTCAGATGTCCTCCCCATCGTCGAAATCCACACCACTCGCCTCTTTCTTCCTGCACGGGGGGAGACAGAGCTTTCCGTTAGTCAGAGGAGGTTGACCAGCTCGTATGAAAGCGTTGTATCGGGGGCAGCCGAGCCCGTTTGTCTAGGGTCAGACAGAAGTGTGTGTTCTGGATTTGCAGGATTAGATGCGATACAGGCGATAGCTCAGATATCCTGTATCTAAAGGTTCCCTGCTGTGGCTAGCGGTGATGGACTGGGACTGTTCACAACACTCCAGCTCCAGGTACTTCAGAAAAAGGACAGGCTTCCCCTTAAATGAGGTCATTAAGGGCTCAGTTGGAAGGAAAACTTGGTTACATATCAAGAACCTGCTGTCTGCCACTTTTACCGCAAAGTACAAAATGCATTGCGTATTCTGAGTACCTGGAAAAACAACAGGTCCTATATGTGGCTTCAGGGGCCATCGTTGGTCACCCCCACCCCCCCGCATCTGCCCTCACAGCCAATCACCTTTTAGTCCCGGGATTGATGAGCGAATCTCCAGGGAGACGCTTCTTGACAGCGGCTGAAGCCCCGCCCCCGTTGTGCCTTCTCCTCGGCTCAAAGTCTGAGAAAACGAGACAGGAGGGTCACCGGGCTGTTACAGCAGCTGCTGATGCGCTGTCTGGTGGGAGCTGGGTGTCACAAAACACCACAGGAGGGGACGTTACTTTCTGCAAGATCCGTAGGATATTTAGGATCAATGGGGGTGGAAAAACACGAGCAACTTGAATACATTTGAACATTTAAACAAGTCGCAGCACCCCGACTCCCACGGCTGCAGTGGTGCAGGGAAGGGACAGGAGGCGCTGTTCGCACAGCTGCAGGGCAGACCTGTCTCACCCGAGGAGCATCGCTGCTGCGTCTTCACTGGGCTGAAGGACTGGGCTGGGAAGGAGGAGAAAAGAGAACCACAATGTGCAGCTGTACGATGTAGAAAAGCGTTTACAGAGTTTGTGCGTGCGTGTGTACGGCGCCCCTGTGCGTGTGTGTGCTGGATGTACCCGTGTGTACAGTGCTCCTGTGCATCTGTGCCGTGTGTACCTGTGTATGTATGTACCTGTGTGTACAGTGCTCCTGTGTGTGTGTGCTGGATGTACCCATGTGTACAGAGCTCCTGTGTGTGTGTGCCGTATGTACCTGTGCTCTCCACTTCCCTTAGCCTCTCAGCCATGCTGAACAGCAGCCCTCTGATCTCTTCTCGGCCCTCGGGGTCCTGCAGCCTGGTCAGGGACAGAGTCAGGGCCCCAGGCCCCGGGCCGCCCAGCTCCAGAGTAATCCCACTGTCCTGGACCAGGAGCGAGGCCAGGTGCCCCTCACACGCTGACCTGCGGCACAGGAAGGCAGGGGAGAGGAGAGAGGGAGGAGGATAAGGAAAAGAGGGAAGGAGAAAGAGTCCTAAGGCCGCGAGACCGATGAAGAGAGATCGTTTGTGATGCATGTATGGCCTCCGACAGCTCGGGTCAGCCTAGGACATCGGTCTCCCCGAGGGCACAGAGCTGTCTGCTGCAGTCTGTGGAGAGAGGACAGACTCCGCACCTGATCTTCAAGATGTAGTCAGCTGCCGTCCTCATCTCGAACCTCTGCCTCTGAAACACAGAGCGCGTCGGAGAGTATTAACCCAGGCCCGATCCAGACCACCAGCCTCGACCAGAACACAGCACAGCCCCGGCCCGATCCAGACCACCAGCCTCCACCAGAACCCAGCACAACCCCAGCAGCCTGGGCCAGACCACCAGCCCGTTCTAGAGCCCTTCTAGCAAGGGCCCAGCGATAAGTGCCGATATTCCAATCAGTCTTTTACACTTTGACAACACTGTTACATCCTCTGTTCTAGTCTGGTGTGACAACGCTGTCCACACACACACGACACTGCCCTCTCTGTTGCTCACTCCTTCCCTGTGATCAAGAGCAAGAAGGCGAGGTACCGTTTAAACCACGGTGTCAGGCTGGTCTCGAGCAGCAGCTGTAGCCAGGGACAAAATGACCCAGGGGGGACAATCGTTTTCCTCTCATTTCCTTACTCCGTTAGCAAATAAGCTCTGTCCTGTGCTTGGCTTTCTGTCAGAACTTGACTGGGCCTCACAGAACTGCGGCTCTGAAGTGTGTCTGTCACTGTCACCACTGTGCCCTACTAACACAGTTGTAGTAAACGCTGTAGTAATCAGGGTCCTTACGTGCTGGGCCAGCATCTCGGGGGTAAACTCTGTGCTCCAGACTTCTGAGCCATTGGTCAGACTGTGAAGCAAAGAAACAGCAGACACACAGGGGTGAGAGAGGGTGGAGAGAGACAGAAATCCTCACTAGACTTCATTCACATGTGCTAGAGGCCCCTAAACACACCATGTAGCTGATTTACTGGTTTAAGATTTGTCCCCAGGAAGAACCGTGAGATAATGCCATGAAATATTAAATAGGGTGTGAGAAGGATACAGGTCGTCTTTGACTCGACCCAGTGAGCGTCATTCTAGCTTAGTTACAGACAACACGGGCAGCACAAACCGACCCGCCATACCGTGCACGGTACCGGAATAGTGCCCTTGCGTGCAGCCCTCCAAGCCACTAGATGGCGCGCTTGCGTATAAAGCAAGACGCAAGACAGGCCCTCCTCCCCCAGTCTCGTCAGCAGGTCAAGTTTTAAAAACAGCGGAACTGTTTATTCTGCGAAAGCTGCTGACAATACTGGTGGAAAGTGCGCCGTTTGTTGCTGGTGTGTACTGTAGCTCCCCTTCCTTGAAAACGTGTACCACATGTGGGGAAAACATTAAGGTCGAGCTTTAAACGAGTTCTGAATGGAGTCGTTAGATCTCCAGCGTACACGTACAGCCAGTTTACGGACGCTCCTGGTCTCAGTTTAAACGTTATTGTCTGTTGGCTGTTGCTGCATTCGCTGTAGTCTCCCTCTCCTGTGAATTAATCGCTTTAACCCCGGTTTAGGGTGCACCAGGTCTCCACGGGGAGACGACCAGCGTCTTATCTTGTGTCAGCACAATTCACAGTTACACAGGACTCCATCATCACCTTCTGCTCCTCTGAGCGACTCTCTGCCCATCCCGGTATCGCGCAACAGTGAGGGAGGCGGACCAACCCAGGCAGTATTGTCCCCGACTCACCCAATATTAGACTCTCCTCTCCTCCTGCTACTGTAGCAGATGTATTTCGTGCCATCGCTGCCAGGCACGACCGTGCAGTGGACCGAGCTCGGCTGCTGCGCGCCGCGGTAGTCCGCCATCTGTCAGAGCGATGACAACAATGCCCATCGTTGCGTCATAGCGACGTTCTTATCGCCTTGGGTGACGTCACGGACACCGAAATCCAATCGCGGAACCCAGGGGAGACGCGAGTTCCCCCTCCCCCCAACTCCATGACCGGGAAATTCAAGACTGGACAGGTGAGTGCCTCCTCTCGTCTGTAAGAAACGAACACCCCATTGTCTCTGCTCCTGGGCTGACTGTGGCTCTGGGGATTGTGTATACTTGAATCAGGTCCCCTCGCCGTGTTTGTTCGTATCTGTTGCTGATGGAGCACTAAAGGAAATATTGCGTGTAGAACACTTTATGTGCTTTAGGTGAGACAGTGATTTAACAGATGACGTACACACTGCTTTTAAATATAGACGTGCTTTTGTCCTTCTCGGAGTTTGCCGTTCTTTATTTCTCCTGGGGAAAGGTAGTCGATATAAAGCATATAGCTACCGTTAAGAAGTGGAGACGTCCCGAACAAAACAGGGGAACTGTAAAAATATGCGTTCTGTTCTCCAAATGGCCGGTTCTCCTGTCCATCAACACCCAGCGCTCGGGTCAGGGGGCGGGGCCGCAGCCGTGACCCGGAAGCGCTGGCGCGGCTGCGTGTGTAGAGAGGGGGTAGCGTGAAGCTAGGTTCTCCGCGAGCGAGTGAGTACCGGTACCGTGCACCGACAGGGGGGGACAGACTGGGGGCGCGGTGCCTGTGGTCTGCTCTGACGCTTGTGTCAACGGGCTGTACAGGGGTCCAGGGAAGTCGCGTCCAGCTGGTTCCAGCTCCAGGAGCTCACTGTGCAGACAGGACACTTCACTGTGCGGGATGGGACTGGTTACCTTGTTGCTGAAAGATGCAGGTCTCCCAGTTTGAAGATCTGGGAAGGCTCGTCTGACTTTTTGATCTTACAGAACATATAGAATAATACTGGAGAACCAAAGACGTTCGTTGAGAGTAGGTCTTCCCAGTGTTGAAGCTCTTCTTTTGCGTTATGTGAGAGTCGTATGTTTATGCGCTTTTCCACGTAGGAAAAAAAAAATCGTTCTGAGTACCTCGCAGTGATGTGACCGGTCATGATGCAGAGCCGCACTAAGAGGCGATCGGCTTGTGTCCTGATCCCCTGCTGGCGCACGTGCAAACTTTCACTTGCGTCATTTCCTGCAGCGGAGGCCCCCGTCTCGCGAGAGCTGGTGGCCCCTCCAACGAGTTGTTTTCATCTCGTGGCTCATTGCAAGCACTCCACTAACAACACAGAGTGTTTGTGAGCTGTGTTGACACTGATTTGTGACCCCCCCAGGTCCTGACTTGCTGCGTGTGTATCCCTGTCTGTAGGAGTAGGGGTGTTAACTCCAGTGACCTGGCTAAATTCCTCACCGTCGTCGCCCTGAAGTTCCCCCTTCGCTCGACAGCAGTATGGCTGCTCCGCTCTGTTATTATGAGTTATTATAGTTATTATTACGAGTTATTATATTGGGCATGGCACTGATTGTATTGGTTTCTGATTTCTGGGCGCCGTCCCCTCTGTGTCCCAGGCCCTGTGCAGTATGTGCGTACTGATCGCTCGCCATGGCAGCGCGGTCTCGAACCCGGAGCCTGCAGGTGGTGGACACGGAGCTGAGCGCCGACGCAGTGGAGTGGTGCCCGGTGCCAGGCTGGCACAGCTGGCTGGCCTGTGGGACCTACCAGCTGCTGAGACCCGTAGAGAAGGTGAGGTCTCCCTCCGGGGGCTGACGCACAACCAGCTCTTGTCTCCTGCAGACGCCCCCTCGGTCTCTGGGCCCTTCTGGTCTCCTTTCAGCTCGTTTTGTAACTCTGCAGTTTGTAATCAGAGCTCTGGTGACCTAATCGTGGAATAGCAGTTCTACCAGATTCAAAACGGATAACAGAACATCAGCAATAATAATCCCTCTTCTTCTTATCATCATCTTCTAACTCTGGCAGCTGTGGGAACGCTGGGCTTAGATTTAATGTTTTATGGGTGAGTGTTTGTCTAAACCTGGTGTATTTCTCACAATGCAGCTCTGTCTCTGTCTCTCCCTGCTGGTGGCGGGACACAGTCTGTCCTCTCTGACTTTGACAGACTCTTCCTGTCTCTCTCACCCTCTCTCTGCAACCCTTCTCCCTGCTAGCCAGCAGCCATATCGCCCCGCAGCTAAAAAATAACTCCCCAGTGGAGCTCGGCAGGCGTGACCCTGGCCAGTACCTGGATGGGGGACCTCCTGGAAAAGCTAAGGTTCCTGCTGGAAGAGGTGTTAGTGGGGCCAGCAGGGGGCGCTCGACCTGCAGTCTGTGTGGGTCCTAATGCCCCAGTAAAGTGACGGGGACACTATACTGTAAAAAGGCGCCGTCCTTCAGATAAGACATAAAACTGAGGTTCTGTCTCTCTGCAGTCATTAACAATCCCAGGGTGTTTCTCGAAAAGAGTAGGGGTGTTACCCCGGCGTCCTGGTCAAATTCCCCCCTGGTCTTTACCAGTCATGGCCTCCTAATCATCCCCCTCTCTGAACTGGCTCCATCACTCTGCTCTCCTCCCCACTGAGAGCTGGTGTGTGGGGAGCAGACTGGCGCGTCATCCAGGTGGGGCTGCACACTGGTGGTGGCAGTGGGATTCCCCATCACCAGTAAAGCGCTTTAAATAGAGTGACCAGAAAAGCGCTATAGAAGTGTAAGCAATCAGTATTATTATCCTCCTCTTCCTCTCCGTCCCCCTCTCCAGGCTGGTGCAGAGACTGATCCCCCAGTCCGCGTTGGGCGGCTGTACCTGTACCAGTTCAGTCAGGAGGGGGCACCGTCTCCCCCACTACAAGAGCTGCAGCGCATAGACACCCCTGGCATCTTGGACATCAAGTGGTGAGAGCACCCTGCCGAGTCCCCCGATACATGATATTCACGGTGTAGTGCACTGATAAACTTGCTGTACTCTCTGATCTCCAGACACTGATTCCCAGATCTCTCAGCCATAGCACAGAAGGTGATCAAGTGTTTCAGACTTGTCAGGAGCCCTTTCAAAACTTAGAACAGGCTGCACTCCTTTACACAAAGAGTTGTGGGAGTCTGGAACAAGCTGTGCAGTGATATTGTTGGAGCCAATGCCCTCACTTCCTTCAAGACGCCACAATAACCATTCTAATGTCCTTTCCCTGATGCGCACGTAATGATACAGCCACACACAGACGCCAAGAAAGAGCAGTAAGATAAAACACAGGCCGTCTGTGCCGAGCCCCTGCTCCTCTCTCTTCGCTCTCCCTCAGGTGCCATGTGCCCGTGTCAGATCGGCCCTTGCTGGGCTCAGCCAGTTCTAGCGGAGAGTTGCAGCTGTACAGGCTGGGAGGCACACAGGTGAGAGGGACCGACACACGAAGAGCTACAGCCACTGACAGACACTGGAATGTGTCTGGGAGAAAAGACAGATCGACAGAAATGCCTTTTCCAGTTTGGTGTGGGGTTGGTTGGTGCTGGCTCAGATCCACCCTCCTTCTGCTTTCTCTCCAGTAGGAAGCCAGCTGTGCCCTGGAGGCGGTCTCTAGCCTGGAGTTAGGCCCTGATAGGCTGGCACTGTCCCTGGACTGGTCCAGTGGGCGGGGAGACAGGTACAGAAATGGATTTCTGTGTCTTACTGTTTCAATTCAATTTAAGGGTGTTTTACAGGTTTAAAAGAAAATAGCTGTATTGCCAAAGTCTTTTCGTAATATATTAAAAACATACTTACTACTTTAACAAAAGGAATAAGAAGGAACCAAGAATTTTGTCCCTGTTCCTCTTGCTCATGAGCAATGCAGAGTAAAGGAAGTATATCTCCAGTAACAGTACTCCAGTAAAGTAAATCTCCAGTGTACAGTGACTCATTTGCATTAGCAAAGCCTCAGTGCACCTCTGTTTATACGTCGTTAGTGATGTGCAGTGTCTCCCACAGCGCGGGGCTGAGGACAGTGTGCAGTGACTCTCAGGGCTGTGTCAGTGTGGTGTCTGTGGACGGCGCAGCACCGACTCTCCTCTCCCAGTGGACGGCCCACAGTTTTGAGGCCTGGATATCTGCCTTCAGCTACTGGGACACGCAGCTCCTGTACTCAGGTGAGCCTTCCCATTCTCTGCTCCCACTCAGGCTGGGCTCTGCGGTACCCTTCTGTGGTGCCCCTTGACCAATGACTTGCAAAGGTTAAAGAGGTCAAACCATTGAAAGCTCTTGCGCACCTTTCCCTCACTCAAACCCCCCTTGCCCTGTCTGTGTGCAGGTGGAGATGACTGCAGACTGAAGGGCTGGGACCTGAGGGTGGGAACCTGCCCTGTGTTCACCAGCAAAAGGTGGGAGAGAGGAGAAAGAGAAGGCGGTGGAGAAGGGTTGGAGATTAGATAAGAGGAGAGGGAGAGGAAGGAGAATTCGGAGAACAGTGGAAAAGGGGGTAGTGGCAAGAACTGAACTCGGCCTTGTTGGGCCGAAGCAGCTCTGCCCTTCGAAGAGAGTCTTGTTGCATGTGAGCCCTTGAGCAGTTTGCAGTTTGCACCCCTGCCTCACTTCCGCCCTCTGTGTCTCCAGGCACTCCATGGGCGTGTGCAGTATCCACAGCAACCCGCACCGCGAGCACATCCTGGCTACAGGCAGGTGAGCAGGTACACCTGAGCGAGCTGAGACCGCCACCCCCAGTCTCAACCAGCTGCTAACTCTGACCTTTTCTGCCCCCCCCCACCCCTTTCCCTGCAGCTACGATGAACACGTGCTGCTGTGGGACGGCCGATCCCTGCGCGAGCCTCTCGCCGACAGCGCGCTGGGGGGGGGGGTGTGGAGGCTGAAGTGGCACCCCACTCAGCAGCGCCTCCTGCTGGCTGCCTGCATGCACAACGACTTCCATATCCTGGACTGCCACCCCGTGCTGGGTGAGGCTTGCCAGCCCGGCGCACACACGCGTACAACCCCCTCGCTTCTCTGTATCTCCCCTCCTGCTTGTTTCCGTTTTCCCTGCATCCTAATCTGCACTGCGTCCATCTCCCTTTTCTCTCCTGTCCTTCTGTCTGTCTTTGCTGTGTCTTCTGTCTCCATCATTTTCTTTTATCCCGCAGATAAATATATCTCCTCTCTCACATGGCGGATCACTTCTTCACAGAGGCCCGTCTCTCTCGGCTTTTCGTTCACGGATCCCTCGTTCGCGCTGCCTGACGCCACTCCCTTTTCTCTCCCTCCCCTCTTCCTTCTCCCCTCCCAGACGGGAGCTCCGGACACTGTCCTGTCCTGGCCTCCTACATCCTGCACAACTCCCTGGCCTACGGAGCGGACTGGTCCCGCCTGAGCCTGGGGGAGCCCCTGCCCCAGACGCCCCCCCAAGAAGAAAGAGACGAGGAGGAGGAGGAGGAGGAGGAGGAGGAGGCAGCCCAGGTGGGGCACGTGCGCATCCAGTACGAGTCGCCGACGGGCAGCTTCGACACCTCCCTCGAGGACGAGGCGGGGCGCTACATCCCCGACGCCCTGCCCCCCCGGGCGCCGGCCCCCCCCGCCCTTCCTCCTCCGCGCCCCTCCGACGCCGACGCCCCCCTCTCAAGCCTGCTGGCCAGCTGCTCCTTCTACGACCACGTGCTTCACGTGTGGCGCTGGGACTGGCGCCGGGCCGCCGGGAGGGAGGGGTCCGCCCCCGCGCCACGCGGCACCCCCCCAACTGGGCCAGAGCGGGGCGCCGACCAGTCCTAGCAGACAGGCAACAGGTCAGTGCCAGCCTGCCTGGGGGGCTGCCGTCCAGTCAGGGGACACTGGCCCACCTCTGCCCTCTCTGCTACATCGCGGCTGGGGCATCCACCGAAACCGCCCCGCGCTCTTTCGATCCAAAGGCTTCCCGTTAAGATTCCGGCCCTTCACATTCCCCAACCGGCCCCCGCGCGCTTGTACGGCAACGGGACTGGGACCGCGATAATGCGTTCGGGGAAAACCGGAGCGTTTACACCTGAAGGGGCGCCAGGCCCTCCCCCCTTCTCTTCCCCCCCCCCCGGATGTAACGGGGATGGGCGACTCCCCGATCCTGGCGGGCTGGAACCCTGCAGGTTTTACAGGACTTCCGTCAGCCCTCGCCACCGCCCGAAAAACGAGCCACCCCAAAGACCTGGAGAATCGGCTCCGCTCAATCAGATCCGAGGCGGAAGGAGAGCCTGAGCCGCCCCCGATTTCCCAGTGCTGACGAGCCCTTGAGCTGCCAGTCGGGTCCCCCCCGTGATGAATTCAAGTAACGAGGGCCTTCCTGCAGCAGAGCAGACGAGAGGGCTCACGCTGCGAGAATTGCAGCTTCAAAACCGGCGGGATTGTGGGGGGCTCTGGCCGTACCTGCTGTAGTTTGGGGGTACGGGGTGGAAGTGGGGATAGGAGTTGCTTTACAGATGATAAGACACCAGCATTGGTGATCGCTGAGGACTGGAGTTCAGTATCCTGTTTCCAGCAGTGGAGAGCTCATCCATCTCCATCATTAACTGCTCCTTTTCCTTCATTTTTCTAAAGTCTAAACTGCATGGCAAGGCCGTTACTTGTTCATACTCTGGAGGGCTACCAAACCTGTACAGGGAATGCAGTAACTGTGTAGCAACAGCATTAATAAAGACATCCTTTTGGTACGTTATTGGTTTTCGGCCTTTTTTATTAATTTCATAGAGGGTTCAAGTGTAGTGAGGGTAAGGCAAATTAAGACAGCTCTTGTATTAGCCCCCCGCCGTTTCCTACTACCACCCCAAAAAAACTACATTGGTGCAAAGAACGAGACATTTGTGTTCAAGACAGAAACCCTGTCAATTTCCCAGTGCTGTGCAGCCACTGTTAATCAGCAGAGTCCACTTTGAACTTGCACCACAGCCCCACTCGGGGAGCCTCAGAATATCTGGGACAGCAGTCTTGTGCACATTTCAGGGTGACAGATGGAACGGGACCCCGCGGACACACCAGATCTGTTTCCCTCCGGAGAGGGAGGGGGCTATGTCCTGGGAATGTAGTTTTTGGGGTGAAGTGTACAGTCAGTCTGGCAGTCATTGGGATTCGCGGTCCTTTCAGGGGTCTCCAAAGATGGCTTAGTCAATGGGGTACAGTTCTCACAGAGTTCGGGTGTGGAATTCGAGAGATCCCTCTAGCGAACGTAGTTTTTGGGGTACAGCTTGAAGAGTTTGCCCTCCTGCGAGGGCTCAAACCCATACTTCTCCAGGCCTTGGGGGTCAAAGGTGCCGTCGCGCAGGTCCTTCTCAATCCGGGGCGCCACGGCCTCTCTGAAGAGGGACTGGGGAGTGAGGGGGGCCTCCGTGCCCGGGGGGGCGCGGTACGACACGTAGGGCTTGAGGCGGCACCCCTCGAGCGGCGGCACCACGAACTCCGGCACCATCTCCCGCACGGAGACGAACTTCCCGCTGCAGGTCAGCGCGCCCGTGCGCCGCGCGCCCCGGCCCTTGTAGAAGGTGCGGGGGCCCCGCTTGCTGGTGAACTCCGCCATGCGGTCGGCGCCTCGCGCCAGGCCCCGCGCCAGAGCCGACAGCAGGCCCATCTGCCCGCGCCCGGCGGCGACACCACTCCTGGGCAACGCGAGTCGGGGGAACAGGTGGCTATCGCCGGCGTCTGCGGAAAGAGACAATTCCAGGGAAGTCGGAGCAGCCATATCACCCTGCAGCTCACAACTGGCAACCCACTGAAGATCAGCAGGTGTGAGCCTGGTCCGTACCTGGATGGGAGACCTCCTGGGAAAAACTAAGGTTGCTGCTGGAAGAGGTGTTAGTGGGGCCAGCAGGGGGCGCTCACCCTGCGGCTCATGTGGGTCCTAATGCCCCAGTATAGTGACGGGGACACTGTACTGTAAACAGGCGCCGTCCCAGGGCGCTTCTCGAAAAGAGTAGGGGTGTAACCAGCAGTCCTGGTCAAATTTCCAATTGGCCCTTACCAATCATGGCCTCCTAATAATCCCCCTCTATGAACTGGCTACATCACTCTGCTCTCCTCCCCACTGAGAGCTGGTGCGTGGTGAGTGTTCTGGCTGCACACTGGTGGTGGAGGGGATCCCCATTACCTGTAAAGCGCTTTGAGTGGAGTGTCCAGAAAAGCGCTATATAAGTGTAAGCAATTATTATTATTATTATTATTAAGTGAAAGTGAAAACTGATGGATAGTGGTAGGTGCCACACCAGAAACCGGACTGAGAGGGGGTTCAAGAGAGGCAGCTTTACTCCCCCTGCAGAGCAGGAGATTTGTGTCCACCATCATACCAGCATTTCTCAAAGTTCAACAGCAAACCTCTCTGCGTCACTTAACTGCGCCGTTCATTTGACAGCTCTCACCGTTCGTCGTATTCAACTCAGTTTTATTTGTATAGCGCTTTTTACCACGGACAGGGTGACAAAGCACTTTAACGCACACTGCCTAAGGGTCAACACTCATTCCTCGTCAGAAACCAAGACGGGCAGGAAACAATCCCGTTGCACTGCAGCTGGATCCATTCGGAATTTTACCAGTCAAGCTACTCTATTGGGAAGTGCTGCCAAACCTCAGGACACGTGCTACACAAAGAGTGGGAGTGGGGAACAAGCTGCCCAACCATGTTGTTGAAGACGATATTCTTGAAAAACTGCCAGATAAGATAGATATTATTATTATTATTAACAACATTATTATTATTAACATTATTATTAGATCAGATCACTTTATCGGCCCTATACAATTTCTCACATTAGGAATGTCTCTTTTCGCAGACCCCAGCTTGCTCTCCATGAGACACACAGACAGGGAGAGAAGCTGGGGGTCAGAGCGCAGGGTCAGCCATTTATACGGCGCCCCTGGAGCAGCTGGGGTGAAGGGCCTTGCTCAGGGGCCCAGTAGGATTCATCTGCCGGCCGCGGGATACGAACCGGCAACCTTCCAGCTACAGGCGCAGATCCTGCCATTAACTACTAACTATCAAACGCCCTCCTTTCGTCTGTGACCCGTGTTAAGTTTCTGTACACAGACAGGTCACACACAGCAGGCTCGGCCGGTTTTCCACGCGTGGTCATGCCATGTCACACCAAGTAAATGAACAGGTTTCAACTGTCCCAATGCGCGGCTCAAGGACACCTGCAGCAGCTAAAACAGAAACAGATCCAACTACTGGGCTAAGGGAGTCCTGCCCTGTTTATCCTCAATCCCCAGTTATCATTCAAACTCACGTTTTCCATTATATCTGCGAGATAAACCTGTTATTCAACACTACACTGAAGTATCGACAATTCACTGTCACATGGGACTTCTTAAAACAGACTGCCGAGTCTAAAAACAATGCACACGGCGAGCACGCATCGAGGCCTCCCTGTGTGATAAAAAGTAAAGAACGAATCGGGCAAGAACTCATCTTAATATAAAATTACAAACCTCACCAACCTCACCTTCAGCTTTCGCTCCCAGTCGCCACACCGGAAGTGACTCGGTCTTGCAGTAAGGGCCCCTCTGATTGGTGGTGACCGGCCCGCAACGCCCAATCAGGGCGCGGGATACTGGGGGGCGGTCCCGCCGATGTGTGTTTGGTGACGAGGAGGGGGGGGGTGTTGTAGAAGTTATGTCGTTTCTCGATTGGCGGAGGGAGTGAGCGAGAGAGCGAAGGGTAGGAGAGAAAAGGGAAAGTAAGTAACTCTTTGGGCTTGTTGTGTTAATGTCCAGCTGCGGTCGCGAAACGGCGGTGTGCCGCGCTGGGTTGAGCGGTGCCGTGGCGGTGGAAGTCCTGTACGCTCCTGTAGGACTGTGGCCGTAGCAGCAGCAGCAGCAGTAGTAGTGGCGGCGGGGGTTGCTGGTGTTTGTGCAGCCCGGTACAGTTACACACACAACTGCGGACAGTGATTTGTAACGCTTACGGCCGACAGGCACTGTGTAAGAGCCGGCTTACCAGAGCGGTGACGTCGCCGCCCTTCCCTGTGATAGCAGGACTACAGCTACCGGGCTGTGGAGAGATCTCTCTTTAGCTCACCGGGGGCGTGTGTGTGTGTGTTAGCGAGCGTCCACTGGTCGGGTGTGTGTGTGTGTGTTAGCGAGCGTCCACTGGTCGGGTGTGTGTGTGTGTGTTAGCGAGCGTCCACTGGTCGGGTGCGTGTGTCTGGGGATAGTGCGAGTTAACTGGTGTGTTTGTCTGGCGTATCTGTGCGTCTGTGTGTGTGTGAGAGTCGTTGCCCCCTGGTTGTTTGTGTGTGTGTGTGAGGGGGAGGGAGGTCCCCATTTAGTTGAGGAGTCAGTGAGATCCCTAAGCACCTGTTGCTGGGCGGGAGACGGGGCTGGCTGAGGGCCTGTAGGGAGGTCCCCTGTGTTTACAGCACCCCCCGTCCAGCGCCCCAGTCTCACATTTTAATGGCTAACCGCCACCTTCCTCTTTTCTGCCCAGTGCTACGGAACTGAGACTCTCCGGGCGGGCAGCTCGACAACACCCCGTGTGTCTGGGGACTGAGGCAGCGGCACACGAGTTCAAACTTCTGAACGGCTGGCGGCTGTGGTTTGGTGAACAGACCCCCGTCTGCGGGACTCGGTGTTGACCAAGCGGACATGTGAATATAAGAGCAGGGTACGGTGACACCACACCGACTCTTCCTATTATATCGTGTAATTAAGTGCCCAGCCAAGCCCTTGAGTGTTTAATCCTCAGAGTTTAATTAAAATAGATAAGTAGATTTTGGAGAAACGGTAAGCAAGGTGAAGACAGAACTGGGTTCTCCCTGCACACACAAGACAGCTGACAGGGAAGAGGGGAGAGGTGTTTCACTTGTTTATAGGTAATGAGCTGGTCTAGGACTCATAATAAACATAATGTGTCAGTGTAGCAGACCTAAATCGAGTTATTTCTTTGTGCTTTATTGGCATGACCGGTGAACTACAGGACTGCCAGAACAGTAATGCTCAGTAAGACATTTGTGAACAAAAAGAGTTTTTGTCAGTCTGTTCCACAGGGGATCTCATAGGGGTCAGCCCTGTGAAATTTCCTTTCCCGTTGGGATCGGAAGCTGTTCTGATTCTGGCAGGTGTGGGAATTTGGGGATTAGATGTATTGTTTTGGAGAAGGATCTTTGTTTGATCCTAGAGAATGTCTGGCTCTTTGGTCTCTTAAAAAAAAAATATATATCGCTCTTTGTCTCTGCTTCTTCCTGCTGTCAGCTGGGAGCACAGCTCTTCTCTGGGCAGTGAGATCTGCCTTTGTCCAGGTTCTGTGGTGTCATGGCCACCTCTCATTCTGGTCAGACAATCCGGTTTGTGTTTCTGTTTATGGTCTCGTAACACTCCAGCGGGTGAGCTTGTTGGGTTTTTGCTGTAATTGGGTTCATGACTGACTGGTGTCCTTGTGGTTCAGGGCAGTGAGTTTCAGGACCAGCTGGCTGAGGGGACTCTTCTTTGGGCTCAGCTCGTGTTTCAGCACGGTCTAGTTGTGTTCCGAGTTTTGGTCACTGCTTTTTCGGTGTAGCCAATTTTTTATTGGTCCCTCGCTGTTTTAATTAGCTCAGAGTATAGGCCTAATACTCACATTTGCACAGGGTACCAGTGCTTGTCCCATTGGGTGTAATCCTGGTTTGAGGCTGGAGCTCACACAGTCATAAGATCACTTTATTGGCCGTAAACAATTTATTGTATCAGGCATTTCTTTTCGCAGACCCCAGCTTGCTCTCCATGAGACACACAGACAGGGAGAGAGAAGCTGGGGGTCAGAGCGCAGGGTCAGCCATTTATCAAAGCCCCTGGAGCAACTGGGGTGAAAGGCCTTGCTCAGGGGCCCAACGGAGTAGGATTCCTCTGCCGGCCGCGGGATACGAACCGGCAACCTTCCAGCCACAGAGCAACTGCACCGCCCGTCATATAGTGCAATGTTTTCCCTCTTCTTCTCCTCCCTCGGTTCCTCTCTCACTCTGTCTTTCCCCCTGCATGCTGGGAGTTGGTGGTGGTGGCAGGAACGCAGGCCACACTCCTAGCATGCAGACGTCCTGCCCCTTCTCGGTTTTCTACATCTTTTGTGGCTTCTATGGTGCTGTACATTTTCGAGTACTCTCTGCTCTTTGGTGCTGCTTCATGGTTGTGTGCTGTAGTGTAATCCCTATGGCGTTCCTTTTGGCCACAGTGCCCCCTAGCTTTTTGGCTGTGGGAAGGAACCCTGCAGGAATGGAGGGCAGGTTGCGCGGTGGAGTCGAAGTGTTATGGACTTGTGTAAATCCCAAAGTCCAGCTGGACATCGGCACCCGGGCACAGCAGGGCAGCTCTGGAGCTTGGTGTGACCCTGATCGACAAAGTCCATCGACTGGTCAGGTTACCCAGATTATTAATGTAATGTTTCACTTGTCCTTTTGTAGCTCTCATATTACAATATGTGTGTTTGTCTGATTCTTTGAATAATGGCGTGTTTGGGGGGCGTGAGGGGGAGATGGAAGAAGATATACCGTGAAAGTGAGTTTGAGTTTGTGAGCTTCTTGTCCAGGCGATGTTTCTGCCACAGGTTTTTAATTTTCCCCCTTGTTGTTTTATTAATGCTTGTGACAGATTAAGTCTTTCTCCTCTCTTTCTGCAGGGATGAATGAGGATGATAATTGCTCCATTTACCCCGTGAGTATTGCCCTTGTCTACTCTGGCCCTTCATCTAGTGCCCTCTGCCTCCCCTCTGTCTTCTTGGTGTCTCTCGCGGCTCCCTCTGAGTGTCCTCTCTCTC